TCTGCAAACACCTGCAGGGAGGGTGCAAAGAAGAAGGAGCCAGGTTCTTCCCAGTGGTGCCCAGTGCCAGGAGCAGAGGCCGTGGTGAGGCCTTCTTGGTTGCCCAGAGCAGCTGTGGCTGCCCCATCCCTGGAAGTGTCCCAGGCCAGGCTGGATGGCGCTTGGAGCACCCTGGGCTTGTGGAAGATGTCCCTGCCCATGGCAGGGTCTGGAACAGGATGGACTTTAGGGCCCTTTCCATTCTATGGCAGGTTCAGAGGATGAGGAGAGGGTCATGGATATTGTTTGTTCTCCACCCATGTGCAGTTCTGGGCTCCTCAGCACAAGAGAGACATGGACATACTGGAGAGAGTCCAGCGAGGTGCCATGGAGATGATGGAGTGGTTGAAGCACCTCCCCTGTAAGGAAAGGCTGAGAGAGTTGGGGCTGTTCATCCTATGGAACAGCAGAGTTGGGGAGGGCTCGTCCAGGTCTGCAAACACCTGCAGGGAGGGTGCAAAGAAGAAGGAGCCAGGTTCTTCCCAGTGGTGCCCAGTGCCAGGAGCAGAGGCCATGGGCACACACTGATCCACATCAGGAAATACCTTTTCCCTGTGATGGTAACCACGGGCTGGCTCAGGTTGCCCAGCGTGGCTGTGGAGTCTCCAACCTTGGAGGTGTTCAAAAGCAGTTGGGATTTTCTGAGCAGCCAGCATTAGCTGCCCCAGCTCGAGGCTGGACCAGACAACATCAGGAGTTTTTTTTCACCTTCAAGATTCTGAGATGCTGTGAAGCATTTTGTATCGAGGTGTAGATATGCACACTTCTATCATAATAAATAAACAGTATTTCTTGAGGTTGTCTTCCTATGAACTGACATTTTAACCATCTACCCCCAGCACCAGGCATACAGCATTGCTCATACTACATTTGTTTCTCATCTAGTTAAATAATTATTTTTTTCTTTGTCATCATGGGCAAAGAAAGTCTTTTTTCTAGCTGACACACATAGCATCACATCTTTGATTTCCAAATCAGTGTCATCACTTTTCTTCTTTTGGAGGCGATAGCCAGTTTCCAAAAACGAGCAAAAGGACAAAAGGAGTCACAAACAGAAAACATTTTCAAAATTGCAACTGTTACCTCTAATTTTAGCACATGTCTATGAAAACCTCTAAATTGTATCTAGTAAGAGAGCTGACATTTGTTACACAATTCACTAAGAGCTGTCACAGTCCTGAACAAGTTGTAGCTTGTCGGAAAGCTGTGGTAATTTGAAGGATTGTGATAATTAAGAAATGTAATGCCAATGGGAATTTATCTCCATCCCTCAGATGGCCCAGGAGGAGAGACAGCCTTGGAGTGGCCGGGGTCCCTTCCTCAAGACAGCAGATACACAAAATGCTCTAAGGAAAGTCTCTGTCTTTCAGCATGACCTAAAAACCACCTTCCTTTTCTTATTTGTAGTCCAGTGTGGTGATTTGACAAATCTGGAAGCAAAACATCTTCCTCCTCTTTGTTTTTCTTTTAAAATTTAAGGTTGTCCCTTTAGGCTTGTTTTGTAAAGGTTGTGGAATCCCCACCCCTGGAAGTATCCAAGGCTGGACAGGTCTTGGAGCACCCTGATCTAGCAGAAGGTGTCCCTGTCCATGACAGGGGTGCGGAATGGGATGAGCTTTAAGGTCCTTTCCAACCCAAACCAGTCTGGGATTCTGTGATGTAATGTGGAAAAGACAAAAGCTGTTGATCTAAGGAGACAAGGTACAGAGCAGCCCTCTGCACCTGGGAGGTGCTGAGGCCTGCATGGAGAGCAACATTGGTGGGACCCACTGGTGGCACCTCAGAGAGGGAAACCCCTGGATGAAACACCCTCAAGCTACATCTAGCTACATGTGAGACCTTAACTTTTAATTCTTAACCTGCTTGGGGTAGTTGGTTCTTGCTTTTTAGCTGGGGGAAATGGTTCTTCCCAGGTGCCGATGTGTTGAAAAGCGTATGGAGGCAGGCAGGTTGGCAGGGACAGTGAGACCCATTTTATTTTTAATAACAAACATTACAAAGTCTTGAGCATTCATGTCTAAGCAACTGTCAGTTTTCACATCAGCGATTCATTTGTTTCTGCCAGACGTCTATGTTGTAGTAAATTACCTTGAGCTGGTTGCAAAACTTGCCTGTTACAAAACTGTAATTAATGTTTCAGAAACTCGGGGGAAGATTTGTTATTGGCAGGGTGAGTATGAATCCCCAGACACAAACATTCCTCTAAGATAACACCGTAGCCCTTGGTGTTACCGACACACACACAAAAAGTGGTGTAACTTAAACCAGGGTAATTAATTACACAGATGTCTTCTGTATACAATTAAAACCATTTACAGCTATCACTTTGGCTTTTTGGTCTCCCTCACTCCCTGCCCTCTTCATTGTCCCAAACTGTTTTTTTCTGTCTTTTTCCTTATTGATACAAATATTGATGAGCTGGTGCATGTCTTCACTGAAGATCCCTCTGTACAACCACTGATCCAACACAAACACAGGAAAACCTGCCTCTACCTCACATCCATCCTCACTCAGCACTACTTGTAGTGGTTGTGATACGCCCTTGCAGTGATGGAGCCCTGACCTTAAATTCCTGAGTCAAATCTAAGACAACAAAGCCAGGTATCCCAGCGAGTTTGGGAACAGGAATAAGTACCATAATGTGGCAAGATCCCAAGAGAGAAGGACTGTTTCATGACTTAACATGCTTCTGAATCCCATTTGTTGGAATTTGGTGGATTCCCAGTTGGAGACATGATGAGATTTCTTGCAGGGAGATTGCAGTCAATCCCTGCTGAAATGCCAAGATGCACGTTGCCCATATCAGCTTTATCTGGTGCAATACCAGACCCATTCTACTACTCGACCAGGAGACCAGCAGAATAACTTCCAGACAGCCAGTTTTCTTCACCATGGGAACTGCAGGCTCCAGACAATATGGACATGCTCCAAGGCCTGGGCAAGCAAGGACCCTCTGTGCAATCCTCTGAGCTGACAGCAGAGCCCCGGGCTTTGTGTGGCTCTGCCCAAGAAGAGCTGACATGAGCACTTAAGGGGCTCCTCATGGCTGCTGAACATGAGTGGGATTCACAGTGACCCCTCTCCTTCTCCAGCTGCCTCTGAACAGAGTCACTCCCACTCTCCAGCCTATGGCAAGAGAGCCTTCTCAAGACCCTCTCCTAATGAAGCAATGTCTCCAGTGGCTGCAGTGCCCATTCCCTCTCCTAATGAAGCAATGTCTCCAGTGGCTGCAGTGTCCATTCCCTCTCCTGATGAAGCAATGTCTCCAGTGGCTGCAGTGCCCATTCCCTCTCCTGATGAAGCAATGTCTCCTGGGTCTGCAGTGTCCATTCCCTCTCCTGATGAAGCAATGTCTCCAGTGGCTGCAGTGTCCATTCCCTCTCCTGATGAAGCAATGTCTCCAGTGGCTGGGGAGCACCATGATTTCCCCATACATTTCCCAGGGTGACAAGGGCTTGAGCTGTTCTTGCCTTTGTGCCTCCACTTGCCCCATGTGATGGCAGTGGGATGGCTCTGTGAAGCAGAGAGAACTGATCCAGGCTGGTAAAGCTCTTCAGGGAAGAAATTAGACTTTGAATCATCCCTCATCATAGAATCATGGACTCATTTTGGCTGGAAAGGCCCTCTAAGATCATTGAGTCCAACCATTAATGCAGCACTGCCATGTTCACCACTGAACCATGTCCCCAGGTGCCACATCCACTTATGTTTAAATCCTTCCAGGGGTGGGGACTCCACCACTGCCCTGGGCAGCTGAGTCAGTGCCTGAACATCCTTCCAATGAATAACATTTCCTTAATATCCAACCTAAACCTTCCCTAATACAACTAGAAGCCATTTCCTCTTGTCATCCTGGGAGCAGAGCCCAAGCCCCTGTCCCCTCCTGTCAGGAGTTGTGCAGAGCCAGAAGGTCCCTCCTGAGCCTCCTTTTCTCCAGCTGAGCCCCCCCAGCTCCCTCAGCTGCACCTGCTGCTGCAGACCCTTCCCCAGCTCCATTCCCTTCTCTAGACGTGCTCCAGGCCCTCAATATTTTGTCATGAGGGACCCAGAACTGCTCCCAGGATTCAAGTTCAGTTTACACTTAGTCTTACAAGTGGTTGTTTGGGCAAAAACAAAGACTGAGGTACTTGACTCCCAGGTGGGACCCAGCTGGAGGGACAGCTGCTTGGGTAGAGGAACCACAGCCCACATTGCTCCTGGAAATTCTCCCAAACTTTGGTAAAAAATTTAAACAAAAGCTTGAGAAAATTGCAGGAAAAATAATTCCATAAGGGTGTCTGTCTTAAACTGCCAGTGGCTCACTTCAAACAGTATCAGTGCAGTTGTATCTTGAAAAACTTCCCCAAGAAAGCTCGAGAAATTGCTTTGCACTCTCACAAAAAGAGGAATGGGATTGGCACAAGTCAGTACACGGCACAGGTGTAGCTGAGGGGTGAATGGAATGTTTTTCCCAACAGGAGGAACAGGCAGGCAGCATGACCATGTTTAAGGTAAGGTGGGAAAGAAGAGGTCAGTAGATTAAATTCGTCTGCTTCAAATTATCACACAGAGCTAGGAGAGGTATTTATCAGAACATATCAATATATTTCCAGATGTTAAACAAGGATTAAGGGCAACATAGCCCCAAAACAAGGGGCTAATGTACAGAAGCTAATTCCACTACTAGAATAAGGATAAAATAGCTCAGAAATTAGGGGTTCTGGTGCACAGGCCCTTCCCCTCACCCCCCCAACCTGTGCCACTCCTTCCCTAGCACTTGCATACTTAAATACCCTTCTTCATGCTTCTGGTTGTTGAAATGACCTCTGGCACTTTCCCAGGTGCTCACAAGGAGCCCTGCTGATCCTGCCCATGGTGTAGTTAAAAGGTCATGGGGGACTGGGAAGCATCTGAGCAATTTTCTATGGAGCTGGGTGTGAGTGGGGTGGGTCCAACCCCAGGCAGGGCAGCACATTCTCAGGCTTTATTCCACAAGTTGTGCTGAGGAGCTGGATTTTAAACTGTTCCCAGTCTGGGGCAGAGGCTTTTCTTCATAACTAGGGACAAGAGGATAACTAGGAACCAGAGGATTTTTCTTCTTGCTCTCCAAACCTTCAAGTTTCTAGGAATCCCACAGGTGAGGCAAAAAAATCCTCTGTGTTTGTCTTGCATTTGACTTATTAATGTCATACTAATGGCATACTAATGCATTTGGATCAGGAACTGGGATCCACCCTGAGGAAATCAGGGCACTCTGCTGCTCTCACTCCCTGGGTAATCCTTCCACCAAGCTCTCAGCCAAGGGAAAGACCAGCACCTTGGAAAAACTGCTAAATTTTCAATTTGGTTTCGATTTTGTTAACACAAATGTCTTGGCTTCTACTTTGTGTCTTGCACTGTTTCACATATGAGGGCAGAGCCCCCCGTACCTACTGCAGGGGGATAAAAAAGAAAAGTCAGTGCAGCTTCAGCCTCCTACATGTCCTGTGCCTCCTGCATCACCTCTGCCTCTACTTATTGCACCTGCACCTCCTCTTCCTCCTGCATTTCCTGTGCCTCCTGCATCTTCTCTCCCTGCTGTGTTGCCTCTCATTCCTGCCTTGCCTTTGGCCCCTGTTCACCTTTAGTTCTGCCCCTCTGCCCAATGGGGCAGCCCGTACTGGTACCACACAGGACACAGTTCCATGCCCCTGGGAAAGACCTTCTGAGACTGGCTGGAATCAATCAGCAGGAATTACTCCCCTGGAGAGGTCACAGTTGTCAGCCACATGTTGTGGGGCTGCAGCTCCTGAGAAGCAGTATTAGATGCAATATCAAGTTCCTAAACGTTAGAAAGTCATAGAATCCCAGAATGGTTTGGGTTGGAAGGACCTTAAAGCTCATTCTGCTCCACCTGCTGTGGGGGGCAGGGACACCTTCCACTAGACCAGGTTGCTCCAAGCCCCATCAGTGCACAGGGTATCGTAAGAAGTGCAGGGTTCTGAATACTTTTTGTTCAAATCAAGCTTTGAGAGAAAAGAAAAAAGATAGGAAACTACAAGGGGGTGTGACAAATGGGCTTTTCAGGAATGAAAAAAAAAATTATAAGATTTGTTAAGAAGAAAATTCTTTTTATGCCTTAAAAACATGACAGACGATGCTGAGAAAGCACTGTAATGGCACAGTCAAAAGTCATCTGAAAATGAAGTTTTCCATTGTGGGCCTCCTTTGACCCCATTAACTGCAGACATTAGAGCATTTCACGTCCTTTTTTTATCCTGTTAGGCATCCATGGGGCCTCAGTTAAGCTGGGCTGTCACTCAGGACAATGAGCAATGGGCTGTGGTGGCTCTGATGTGTCAGCAAAAGATGTTTAACTGTAGGAGAAACAAATGTCTCTGGTCTTCAAGAAACAATTTTCCAAAGGTTGAACTCGTATTGACTCATGCCACTGTAGCAGAGAAATGCACTCGGCACTCTCATCCCAGCCTACCGGGAATCAGCAGCATTTCCTGTGAGGGAAAACAGTGGAGAGGAGCCAGGAATGAATAAGCAGCCTCATTGCATTGTGGATCATAAAACCTCTTCCTATGAAAGGGCTAAGCAGGGCTTGTTAAAGCATTGATGAAGCCAGAGAATAAAATTACAATGAGGTATACAGGAAAATTATAACCTCCAGGTAGGTAAGTAGGTTGAGGTAGGAAGGAAACAGGTAATAAAGGAACTGGCCTCTTTGGGAGGTATATGTCATCTTCTCCTGGAGCACCTTTCCATGTCATAGAGTACCCAGTGAAGAAATCTCTCCTGATATCCAACCCAAACCTCCCCTGCTGCAACTTGAGGCCATTTGCTCTGGTCCTACTGCTGTATGTCACATTCCTCAAGAAGGATGTGCATCACACCAGGACCTCAGAAAGAGCTTCTGCACTTCTGCCCATGAGACAGGGACCACGTGTCTTTGTTCCCACCACTGAAATGGCCTGAAGGAAGCCACTGGAGTTTGCTGGTGTGCTGGAGGGCTGTGATGTGTTTCTGAATGTCCTGTGGGAGGAGTTGAGCTGGGCTGATGCCAAACCATGGCAATGGATGAGCATTAAATAGGGACTTACTTTGTCTCAGGGTCCTATGGCCGGCAGCAAAAACATGGTGAGTGACTCCCCAGTGTGAACCTAGACAAGATCAACCTTTCGATGCTGTGAAATCCTGCAAGAATTTGTTTTAATTAGTGAAATTTGTTGGCAATGGTACCTACAAGCAACAGTTTTTCTTCTAGTCAGAGAAGAAGAGGAAGTGAGAAGATGAGAGGGAAAACAACATGGTGGCACTGAGGCAGTGGAAACAAGGAGGGGGAAGAGGAGCTTCGAGTGTTGGAGCTGAGAATCCTCTGCAGGCCGTGGTAAAGACTGTGTTAAAACAAACTGTCCCTCTGTAACGCATTAAGTCCACAGGGGATGCAGAGATCCACTCACAGCCCATGGGAAAAGTGCTCACACCAGAGAGGGTGGATGCCAGAGGAAGCTGGGATCCAGCGGGAAACCCAAATGAAGAGAGAAGGCTTCTGCTTCCAGAGAGAGAGAGGGCCCTTGCTCCCAAACTAGAGCAGCCTATCCCTAGGGGAGTGCACCCCATGGATGAGTGACCCACACCACAGCAGTTTTGGAAACGCTGTTTGTCCGTGGGAGGGACCCCATGGCATAGCAGGGACAAGACTCCTGTCCCTGAGCAAACAAAAGACCTCAAGTGACAAACTGACCAAAACTCCCAGGCCTTGTCTCCCTGTGCTGTTGCTGGGAAACAGGAAAGGGCTGGGTGGAAAAAAGGTGTTTCAAAAGCTTATTTTACTTCACATTATCCTCTTCTGATTGCTAATAATAAATTTACTTAATACCTTTAAATTTGAACCCGTTTTGCCCTTAGTGTTTTTTCTCATAGCCTTTATCTCAACTCATGAGCCCTTTGTTAAATTTTTTCCCTCTCAGCTGCCCAGCTCTCTGTAACAAGAGAAGTGAATGACTTTTGTGGGTGCCTGGTGTTTGGCCAGTGTTCAACCACAACAGAGTGAAAGACATCCAAGACCCAAGGAACTCTAGACCCTGACAACACAGGCATGCAGACCACTTAGAAGGATTGATCTTATGCTTTCAATAAATCTTCTCTTCTGCCCAAAATCCTTCCATTCCCCCCCCACCCCGGACTGATTGCAATTTTCAGCCTGTTTTTTGGTGTTCTCCATTACATCCTTGGCAGAACTGTTCCAAGCCAGTGCAAAGGCTGGACCCTCCAGCTGAGATGTCACTTTTGATGCAAAGTGATTAACTTTGACATTACCATTTCACAAGCCCAATGTTTCATTCAAGGACTATAGCACAAAAGAGCTGAAGAAGTGCGTGTATCCAGAATTAGGGCCCTGGCACAGGTTGCCCCATGCCTGGAATTGTCCAAGGTCAAGTTGGACAGAGCTTGGAGCAACCTGGGATAGTGAAGGTGTCTCTGTCCATGGCAGGGGGTGGAACAAGATGAGCATGAAGGTCCCTTCCAACTAAACCAGTCTGTGATTGTGATTCACGGAAATTCAAGTGCAGGCTGGGGCTTCTCCCTGCCCACAGTGGAGCTGGAGCCTGGTCTGTGGTTACAGCTGAGGGTCATTCTGCTTCTTCTTGTCATTTTGGCCAGCACAGTGACTCCACGGCCTGCAGGAGAGGGAGACTGGGGGCAGGCAGTGTCATGGGGAGCCCAGCAGTGATGCCAGTGTGATGGTCTGTGCAGGTGGGCACCCAGGAGGCTGCACAGCTCTCAGCAGGCTCAGGAGGGGCTCCAGGGGCTCCATTATACCAGCAGTGCACTCAGAAAGGCTATCCCCAAACTGGAAATGGTGTGCTAGTGATTAAATTGCAGATTTAATTGCACATTTAATCCCTAATTATCACAGATGCCAGAGAGATGTTTTTAAAAGGATGTGAGAAACTCAACAGCTGTTGAATTTGCACAGCCAACGTGCATGAAAAAGCCCCATGGGCAGGAGAACACAGTTCTCCCAGAGGAGCTGCTCTGCTCTGCCTCTGACCTCCCAGGCATGACCCTCCAGGGACACCTGCAAAATAACCTCAAAAAAGAGAATTACAACTTTCAGTAATGCAATGTGCCATTTGTATCTCCACCAAACACAAGGGAGGCACCACCTTCTCTGCCTCTACTCTTGGCTAAATGCTTTTGTATTCCACAGGCAGTGACAACCACCTTCTCTTTCCAGCTGTGAAAGATGCAAACCTGCTGGCTCAGCTAACCTGCCCCCTGCTCTCCAGGAACAATTTCTTCTTCCTCTCTAATTACTCCATCTATTAACACAATAGAATTAGGCTAAGAAGGATTTTTCCTTGTGAGAGTGGTGAGACCCTGGCACAGGTTGCCCAGAGAAGTTGTGGCTGCCCCATCCCTGGAAGTGCTCAAGGCCCAGTTAGATGAGCCACGGCTGGAGTTCCCTGCTGAGAACCAATTCTTGCTGATGTTTCCCTTGTTAGAAATGATGACAGGCTGCCTTGGGCTACATTGGTGCTCTGCTTTGCTCTGGAAAGCAGGGAGGTTATCAGGCCACCACAAGCTCCCTGCACAACATTGGAGCTGTTTGGGACACAAGATTTAGCAAAAAAAACCCCAAAACCTGGAGAAAAGACCAGTAACAACAAAAAAGCAGAGGAAATCATGGGCTTGGGAGGTCCTTCCCAGAGGACAGAGTGAGTGGAACATTATTTCTGTATTTCTCTGCACCATGAATGGTTTCTTACCCAGAAATTCACTGCTGCACAGAGGGCAGCAAAGGTCCCTCTGGACTGGAGGCTGCAAAGGGGCTGTGCCACACCCTGAGCTCCTCTCTGTGCAGCCTGGCACAGCCCACAGGCAGGGGCCTCCAGGGAAGGACACGAGCAGTGCCCCAGGGGTGCAAGCACTGCTGCACACACAGCTCAGGAGCTTGTTGGACCCGTGGGTGCAGCTCCTGACCTGCAAAATACACAAGGGCATAAAACATGCACATCAAACCTTGCCAGACTCCCAGAGCACTCCGACACCCCAGCTCTCCTCCAGACCTCTAAAATCACAGGCACATTTACATTCCTAGGGAAGCTTCCACAAAAAAAGCAGTCCAAGGACTTCCCAGAGGATCACCTGAAAAGATGCAGAAGCATCAAACACCTGAAGGTAAAAGCAGTCATTAAAAAGGCATAAACAAAGGGCATCATGATTGTTTTGCCATGTCTCCAGACTTGAAAGGAGGCTGAAATAACCTTTATATAATCCCATTAGCATTTTCCAGTGAATACAAGGCATTTTAGGAGGCTGAACAATATCTTTTCTTATCATCCATAAAGGTTAAAGGTATTTATCTGATTTAATATTTTATAATTTAATGTTAAGTGACACAGAAGAATAATGCAGGCAGGCCAAGAGGTGGCTGCAGTGACACAGCAGAAGCCACTCTCTGCTCTTCCAGCAATGCCCATTGGCCTGGGCATGAGACAGGTTTGGGAACAACATCCCTTGACCACCAGCTCTTCAGAAAAGTGGATTTTGTGCTGTGCCCTGCTGTGGTGAGGACCCCAGCTGCCAAGGTCAGCTCCCCCACACCTACAACACTGCCACTTGACCCTATTGCAGTGTCACATTTGCAGAAGCTGGTGCTCTACCATCACATTCCAGGGGATGAAACATTTTATAGAATCATAGGATCACGGAATTATTAAGGTTGGAGAAACCCTGTAAGATCATTGAGTCCAGCTGCCAGGTTCACCACTAGACCATGTCCCCAAGTGCCACATCCACGTTTTTTGAACACTTCCAGGGATGGTGATGCCACCACTGCCCTGGGCAACCTGTGCCAATGCCTGATCACTTTTTCTGTGAAGGACTTTTCCCCATAATCCAGTCTAAACTTTCCCCTGGTACAACTTGAGTCAGTTTCCTCTCATCCTATCCCTTGTTCCATGAGAGCAGTGCTCAATCCCCAGCTGGCTGCACCCTCCTGTCAGGGAGTCATGGAGCACAAAAAGGCCCCCTCTGAGCCTCCTTTCTCTGGGCTGAGCCCCCCCAGCAGCTCCAGACCCTTTCCCAGCTCTGGACACGCTCCAGCCCCTCCATGTCAGTCTTGGGGTGAGGCTCTCTTGCAGTGCCTGTATCTCCAGCCTGCCTGTCCTCTGTCCTTTCCCTTGTCAGGAACACAGCCTTGACCAAACTGCTCCATCCTCCATGGAGGGAAGGAGTGAGAGAAGAGGGAAGGTGTAGGGGTTTGGTCTCAAAAACAGGTTCCAATTCCCAGGAGGACCCAAGGCAGGCACCAATGCTCTCCACAGTGGTGACTTTGAATCTGGGGGAGCAGCAGGTCAGGACCAGCACCCCTCTCTGGGACTGCCCCATCTCTCATGGGGCAGGTGGGGAGCAGATGCCCCATTTCTCCCGCCCTGCAGTCCTTGAGTATTGCCTGTTTTTCATCTCTGGTAGGGAATGGAAAGTGCCCCATTTCTTCAGCCCTGCAGTCCTTGAGTAAGTATTGCCTGTTTTTCATCTCTGGTAGGGAATGGAAATGAGGAGGTTATTCTCTGCTGAAACATTCTGGAAAAGTCAGAGCTGAAATCTCTCACTTTTCTCTTCCATCTGTTTATTTTTACCACTTAATAACACGTCTGTCTCGTCAACTATTCCTGACACTGTGGCAAGAAAATTCAACTCAGTGAAGACAGATTTATCAAAGAGACATTAGCTCTTCCTTACTGTGTGACACCACGTCAGCTCTTCTCCTGCACATGAAGTCTGGTCTGTAATTTCAAAGTGTGCCTTCTATCTCTTTGAGGGGGTGATATGACCAATATATTTGAAATTGTTGCTTGTTATGTGAAAGGTTATCCAAACTGTGAAGATAAGAAGCAATTTCAAGTGCTTCAAGGAGTCTCCTTTTTTTGATGTGTTTTTCTCTTCACTGCCACATGATGTTACAGACCTAATTTCAAGAGATTAGTAACAATTGCAAAACAGTCATTGAAATAATCTGTGATAGAGGACAGAACTCTGGGACAGCATGAGAAGTCTGTGCTATCAGTAATTTCTCACCATTAATAAGAAAATCATGGTCTGCAAGCTCCACAGTGACACCAGACCTGCTCCTGCTTCCCCAGGAGGAGCCCAGGTCTCTGCAGAGGTGCCTGAATGAAGGTCAGCAGTGTGAATCTCCTCATGAGTCACCCCAGGTTTATCAGCTTGACAGTGGATGGCTTCACTCACTCACCCCTTTTGTTTCAAACTGTGCTCCTGGCTTCATTCCTGAACCATCCACCTGATGGGGAGGCCTGGAAGAACTGAATCTGAACAATGTGACATTTTCAAATGAACTCTTTTACCACTTTTTCCTTATTTTCTTGCCCTGCCATGAGTTTTGTTTTATAAGTTTTGAATCCAGCTAAGCTGAACCAATGTCCTTGTTTGCTTTTTGGACAGGGAGCAGGGATATTTCACTGAAACTGAATCTTGAAACTCTCAGTTTGGTGTTCAGAATCCCTTAGGACACATGCATTCTTCTGGGCATATTTTGGTAGCACAACCACAGCGTTGGTTGGGAGGGAAATACTCCAAATTTCTGTTGGAAGCAGGACAGTTGCCAGCACTGGGAAAGGAGAGCAGAGCTGTGGATGTCTCCATGTGGAAAACATGATGGATAAAGTCTGTGTGACACACTGGCTGTGAGAGCAGCACCTGGGTTTAAAGATTCCCTCCTCACTAGACCGAGCCTGTCTCTCCCATTTCTGCCTTGTGCATGGTCCTGTTGTGCTCAGAGGAAGCTGACTTCCAGTAGCTGGTGTTCCAGAAGCAACCCTCAGCACTTCAGAAAACAGGTGATTGCCATATTCCATCAGTTCACAAGATCATCCTCTTCACTCCTTGTCCACATGAAAGGCAGCATTAACTTCTAGAGAACCTGTCCTTTGGGAAGCTCCTTCCTTCCTGGGAGTGAATGGCTCCTGAATGCCTTCAGGATCTCTCCTGCCTGTATGAGAAACTACTTCTAAAAAACAGGGAAAGAAGACTAAAACCATGTTGTTGAATCTTGGAATTCCCCTGTGTGTCACTCTACATGTTTTAATACACTGCAAGCACATTCCATCAACAGCACTCTGCCCCTAATGTGGGGTAAGAAATGATCTGGCAGGTTCTGTACACCATGGAAAACACCTCTTATTGCAGAAAGTAAGGAGAACCCACCAGCTTCTGAAGAGTAAATTCAGATTTACATCTGTGAGGGAGAAGGATTTGTCCCAAAAAGATGGAAAGAGTTAAGTGAGCTGGTAAATGAAATTACTCAATATTGCCCCATACTGATTTTTTTCCCCCTAGAAACACCTCCTGAAATGAAGGACCTGTCTTGTGTTTCTTTCTCTCTTTGGTTGAGGCTGGAGTGTGGCTGACATGAGACAAATCCACCTTTACCTTCCCTTGATCACAAAAAATGCCAACTGAAAAGAAACCTTCAGGAATGTGCTGCCAGCAGAAGGGTGCCAGGCTGGGGTGGATCTGCCATGCACGTGTAACACAGCTCCTGACTGCACTTGGGCCCAGGATTTTCCAGTAACAGACTAAAATGTCCAAGATTCCCTGATTCCTCTGATTTTCACTGCCTTGTTTTCTCAATCCTTTTGGGTACACTTGCCTTGTTTTGTCAGAACTGCCAAACCTCAGCAAATAAACAGAGAACTGCATCCCAAATGAATTCTGTAGCAGAAGAACATATCAGGCTGTTGTCCAAGGTCCTTTCCTTCAACACATCTGCATTAGCAGAGAGGAAAAGAAGGGCATCTATCTAAAAATAAAAGTATTGAATATTTAGGTGCTGCTATTTTCATCATACATTGTTTTAAAGCTTCAGTTCACTTGGTGCTTTTTAAAGACTTGGGGGAAGGAAAGCACCTGTATTACCTACAAAAACGGTGCTGTTTGTAGCCTCTGGGCACAGACTGGCCCAGAAACAGAGGAAGTGGAGGGTAAGGGCTTGGAAGGTAAGGAGGCAGAAAGGGGAGGTAAACTGGAGCTGATGTCTTGATCCTGCTTTGTTTGCTGCTGCCTGAGCCCTCCTCCCTTCCCACCTTCCAGCTGGCCCTGGAGCCCAAGGTGCAGATAGATCAGAAAGACACGTGGAAGTCTTGGGATGCATTGTTTGTCCTGGATGCTGGGAGATGGAAACAGAGATTTCCAGGAAAATTTACTGGCACTAAATAGTTTAACCACCGTGAGGGAGTTTGGATTTCACACGTAAAAGTGGGGGATGAAGGATCCACAGCTCCATCCCCTCCTACAATGACTCCACCTGAGGCCCAGGACACAAGTCCACCTTTGGAATTCAGCAAGTTCCCAGACATGACAAACCATGATCTCAGGGAATGAACCACCATGGGAATGTGGTGGCTCCCCTGGGCTTGGCTGCAGGGTCTCCTTGGAGGAGCAGAACTGATGACAGGGACAAGTGCTGTGGTTGGCACCAAGACAGGAGACCACCTAAGCCACCCAAGAGGCACACTTACAAAGCAGATGGACAAATCACAATGAATGAGGACCGGTTTTTTGTCTACACATTTCACCTGACATCACATCATCCTATCTAGTCACTTGATCTGCCTTCTAAATCCAAACTTCAGTATTTTTAGTTACCTAAAAAAAGAAACAATGCTCACCCAGAAGAGCCTAGAAGCTCAGGCTGGAAGCATGAAACCCCAGCAGATCAATATTAAGTTACATCCTGGCAATTAGAGGGAAAATAAACAGAGTTAACTCAGAGCCATGCGAAGCTTTGTGCATTAAAAACACCAATAGTGTTTTATTCAGAAAAAAATAAACAGCCTTGCTTTGAATGAGATAAACATTCACGTTAGATGACACCTGGCATGATAATGTGAGCCAGGAACAAGCTGTGCCTCAGTGCCTCAACAGCACAGGAGGGTGTGAATAATCCTCAGAGGCAAGAGAGCCCCAGCTCCTCCCAAATGCCTGCTGAGCCATTCCCACTGACCTGTCCCCAGTGGCTGCTGCTGTTGAGCTGATCTTTGGTCCATCCTGAAATTAATTTATTCTTTTCTGGTTTAGCTTCTCTATCAGCCCACGTTATTTAAACTACATCCTCTGATTTTTTTTTTTTTTGAGCTTTAGTTTTTTTTTGCTAGGAGACTTTCTAGTCCACAGCCAGCTGGGGCCCCTCTTCTTTCCCTTGGCTCTACTCACTGTGAGAAGAATAAACACCTCCTCTGTTCTCTTTGGACAGGTTTCCAGCACTTGTAGAATGGTTTATCTGGAAGCAACATTTCAGATTTTTCTACGCTGCAACTGACACCACAGACAGGGATGTATCTTCACTGCTGAAGGAGAGCAAAACTGAGAAAGTTCTGCCTCCAACCTCTTGCTTTAAAGCAAGACAGCTCAGGCATTCTCCCCACCCCGCTGCCCTTGACATCTCAAGAAGTTCTGCCCTCCAACCTCTCTCTTCCACAGGACCACAGCAGCCAGAAGGGATCTCCAGTGGTCTCTGGTCCAGCCCTCAGCCAGCTTGGATCACGTCATTGGCACCTTCTGCAGCCCAAAGTGAACTTTCCTCCAAGGATGGAGCCCCACACTTCCCTAGGGTCACTGAGCAATCAAACATTTATTAGGGAAGCAATCAGGGAGGGGCCTGTGCCCACCCAGGCTGTCCTTTGGGCCCTGCTCACCTGGGGCTCTCCCTGGACAGCTGGTTCTCCATCTAGTGCTTGAGGCTGCCCACAGCACAGACAGGCACACAGCCAGAACAATCTGCATTAATACTAACTTTTTTGAAGTTATCCTTTCTCAGTCCTGTAGGATATTCTGCACCTGAGATGAACTGGGAAGTGCAGAGGGCTGAACACCCCCCAGTGCCCCTGTACCACTCTGGAAGGGGCAGGTGTCAGTGCACCTGCCTGGACACTATTCCTGGCCCAGTGCAACACCAGCCTCCAATGTAAACTCACACTGGATGGAACATCTGACCTTCCTTTTCCTGGCAAGCTACTGCCTCCCCCCCGCCCCGTTATAAATACATGCTTCAGAAATATATAAATGCATAATTTAACACCTGCTTTGACACAGGCATGGCAAGGAAGCCACACTGGGACCCCGTGGAGAGCCCACACTGTTTCACCTGTTCCCTCAGTGCAGCCCCGTGTCCCTTGCACAGGCTGGGGAGATCCAGCAGTCACGGCTGGGATTTGAGCCAGAGGGGTCTGTAGTGTTTGCGGGCTTCTCAATGCAGCAACTTTTGTTTCCAGGCAGAAAACGTCAGCCTGAGCCCTTGCCTTGCAGCAACACCATTTTTTCCTGGCAGTGTTATGACTGGTGGGTGGCTGTGTCCCCTGCCAGACACCACAATGACTCCTTGCTGATCCCAACGCTCCCACGGGACAGGGAACATTCCCAGTGGGAACTGAGGCCCTGCACCCCGCAGAGCACAGATAGGAGAAACCTTTCCAAAAAAGCAGCCTTGGCCTCATTCAGACAGGGCTATGCCAAGGCTGGGAAGCAGCTGATGGACTCCGACAGATTTAGCACTCAAACGGAGGCCTCAGTGAAAAGAGCAGCTCCCCAGGCCGAGGCTCAGGGCCTGTCCTGCCCCGGGCCAGCCTGAGGCAGCGCCGAGCAGAGCTGGCCCAGCTCGCTCTCATCGTTCTCCTCGGGCTCGCTGCTGAAGTTGGAGGGGTTGCTGCTGGGCAAGCTGTGGCCAGAGCCTGTGCTCAGGGACCCCTGGCCCTTGGGCTCAGTGCTCTGCCCCAGGGCATCCTGTGGGCACACGCTGCCTGTGCTGGCCGGAGCTGCCTGGGAGTCCTTCCCCTGGCTGAACAGCTGCCTCAGCAGGGATTTCTGCAGGGTCGTTTGCAGGCTTTCACAAGTCCTCTGGTTTGTGCTTGGCTGGGTGTACTGCAGATCCAACTGCAGGACCACATCTGTCTGGAAGGGGAGAACAAAGAACACCGAGTGAATGGGGGAATTAGATTGGAAGCAGAGCTCTCCTAGTGCTGCTGGCACAGGAGCCTTGGCTGGCTGCTGTGCAGGCTCACAGCCCCATGCTGTGGCACGATGGAGCAACACTACTGCCAGAGAAAATGAGCTGTACTTACTCATACAGCTCACTATGCCTGCAGGCCTCAGCCACGGATTTTGGATTTCAGGACCTCTCCTGAAATCAGGCCATGTGGGATCCCATCAGCTCCATCAGGGAAGTGCCACTGCCAGCATCACCCCTGGGGTGGGGGCACGGGGGAGCAGGAGCAGCTGCACCATGGCCAAGAGCAATGCACAAGGGAGAGGAAAGCATGAACCACTTACAGTGCTCAAGGCCAGGTTGGATGGGGCCAGAGCACCCTGATCTAGTGGAAAGTATCCCTGCTTGATGAGGTTTAAGATCCCTTCCAGCCCAAACCATTCTGGGATTCTATGAACTAAAACACACCTCACACTGTAAAAGCCAACAGCTTTAACCAGCAGTGCTCTACAGGGACCTACTCACAGCCTAGCTCTATTTTAAAATTTTATAAATGATGAAGAAATAACAGAATAACCACATTTGTGGCAGTCAAACCCCTGAAAACAGACCCCCAGCACAGCACTGTGCCTGAAACACCTGTAAAGGGCAGGGAGAGGTATAATGGAACAAGAAAATTCTGGCAGGCAATACCTGGTCCAGGTCTCCTGTCTGCACTTAAAAACAAAGCAGAAAAACAGGGAAAGGTTCAGAAAAGAGCTCCAGGAACAAGCAAGAACTGAAAGCACTGCCATATGCTGGAGCACATCACGTACAGAGCAAGCAGAACTTGCTGCAGGCAGATCCAGGCAGCAGCTTGAGAGCAGCACCTGGTGTAAGATCCACTGGCTGTGTTAGGGGAGGAAGGAAAATCCAAGTATAAACAAGGTACATACTGCTGTGTGAGGTGACACAAGCCAGGGGGGAAGCAATTCTGCTTCTCTCACAGTCTTTAAATAGTTTGAGGATGTCTTGAGTGTGCCAAAGAGGCACAGCTTGGATCAGGCTTGGCAGTGTTACTCTGATGACTGGAGATCCTGGCCAGCCCATGAACTCATCTCTCAGGCAAGCACACAGCCTAGTGAGACATTCCTCCACCTGAAATAACTGGCCAGCTCTGACCTCCCTGTGGTTGATGGGGCAGGGAGCAGCTTCCTGGCCAGGCAGCAGAGAAATACAGAACAATCCATGACCAGTGATGCCTCTCTGCTCTCAGCAGAGGCTGCTGTGGGTCAGCTTTGATGGCAAAGTCAGGCAGAGGAGACAACACAAAAGCAAAGAGCATCCACAGCTGGGTTCTGCAGCCTGATTATAAATCAGAAAGATTTTGCTGAGATGGAAAAGGTGAGGTGAAAGGACAGTGCTCTCCTATGGAAACAAGCTGGGAGAGCTGGGGGTGTCCAACCTGGAGAAGAAAAGGATCCAAGATAACTTTAGAGCCCCTTCCAGTGCCTAAAGGGGCTCCAGGAGAGCTGGAGAGGACAAGGGGGAATGGCTACCCACTGCCAGAGGGCAGGGTTAGATGGGATAATGGGAAGGAATTCTTCCCCGTGAGGCTCTGGCACAGCTTGCCCAGAGAAGCTGTGGCTGCCCCATCCCTGGAAGTGTCCCAGACCAGGCTGAACAGGGCTTGGAGCAACCTGGGATAGTGGAAGGTGTACCTGCCTATGGATGGGGATGGAACAAGATGACTTTTAAAGGTCCTCCCCTAACCCAAACCAGTCTGTGATTCTCTAAAAGAGGGTAGCTTTTATGCCTTGAAGATAAACAGCTCCTCTTCGGTCTGGATGTGACACTGACACATGGTCAGAGAGGCAGATCCAGCTCCAGCCATGCAGATGGGGACACCAGTTCCATGAGAGTGAAGAGCTGGGGAAATTTACACCTGGCTGCTCTCTACCTGAATTTTCTGCAGTGCACAGAGCTGGAAGACACAGTCCAGCTCCTCCCTCTTGTACACAGAGGCCAGCAGAGTCTCCACGTGGTCCAGACAGCTCTCCCTCTGGATGGCCACATCATCCACCTCCTGGGTCAGGAAAACAAGAGGAAATGCAAGGAAAATTCAGCATCAGCATGAAGCATTGAGGCACAACTGGCCATCAAACATGTGCTCAGGGCTTTGATGAATACATTGCCTGGTGGAAATGCTGTGTTTCCTAATGGAAGTACTACAGAAAGCCACAGGAATGCAGAGATTTTTACACACTTGCCTTGTATGTAATGAGAAGACCACAAGTGTCTCAGCATATATTGCAGGTGAGACAGCAATGATACACAGATATCACCATACATGATCAGAAAGCTTCACCCCATACAGAGTAACACCACAGCACTTCAGGAGGCTGCAAACATCTGCCCTTTTTGTTCTTTAGCCCAACCTTTTATCCCCACCATGTTGATGCACTGCAACTGTGTGCCTCTGCTCCCTTTGGGGGTTGGTCAGTGCCCCTGGGCACTCCATGGCTCATTGCTGTCAGTGCTGCTCACCTGCTGCTCACAGCTGTGCCCATTCCCAATTACCACAAACTGTGTGCCTACACCTGAGTACATCTTACTGTGAAAAACGGGGTACAGTGGGATTTGCAGCAGAGCAGGAAGCAGCACCAGCTGGTATCACAACCACCATAGGGCCAGCAGTGTCATGGAAAGAGCAAGTTTTACAAAGGCACAGCTGGCAGCTCTCAGTTGTGCTGAGTGCTGATTTAGCCCCCCACCATCTACAGAACAGCCAATTCTTGCTGAGTTGCTCAAATTTAACCAAAACATCACCGTGTCTATGAGATCCTCCTCAGTACCAACTGAGCCACTAATAATACCCCAGGAAGAGACAAGGGAATAAAGGCCTTATGAAATCACAGATCATGGAATAACCTGAGTTGGAAGAAACCCACAAGGCTCATTGAGTTCAACTCCTGGCCCTGCACAGACAACCCAACAATTCCACCCTGTGCCTGAGAGCATTGTCCAAGTGCTCCTGGAGCTCTGGCAGCTCTGGCTGTGACCAAGCCCTTCTTGCCTTGGATTTGAGCCCTCCAGAATGGGTGACAGACCACAGTCTACCAGCCCCTTCCAAAAGGCTTCCCCTTGCCAGCTAGCTCTGGCAACCCTCCCAGTGTGATCCCTAGCAAGAGAAGTTGCACTGGGCATGCTGGTGAAGGAGGCTGTTGGGATATTTAGGGAGGTAGAAGTTGGAGAAACCCTGGGAGCTCTTCCTGGCCCTCCCTGAACTGCTGCCTGCAAGCAGCCAAAGCCATTTGGTTCTGGTCAGGAGGGTATGAGGAAAAAGACTGGATTCCAAATGCTGGCTGGAATCTGCAGGCATCAGGATCACCCCTGCATGCAAGGATGGTGGAACAGGAGGTCACTGGAGGCTGAGGAAACACCATTTATCTCTGTGCAGGAGAAAGCCAAATCCATCTCCGCACTTGGCAGCTCATTACAGGAAAGACAAACTGGAGGGAGCTTGGGGAAGATCAGGCCAGTGAATGGAGACCAAGAGGCAGGAAGCAGATCAGCCTGCTGCTGACACAGGGCTTTGGCAGCATGGCTGCACAAAGGAGGGTGTAGCCCTGCCGTGTCCAGCAGCTCCATCCTCCAGCACATGCTCTGACCTGCAGAGCTGCTCCAGCCCTGGGTCCCAGCACAGGGAGGACATGGAGCTGCTGGAGAGAGCCCAGAGGAGGCCATGGAGAGGCTCTGAGGGTGGAGCCCCTCTGCTCTGGAGCCAGGCTGGGAGAGCTGGGGGTGCTCAGCTGGAGAGGAGAAGGCTCCAGGGAGAGCTCAGAGCCCCTGCCAGGGCCTGAAGGGGCTCCAGGAGAGCTGGAAAGAGACTTTGGATAAGAACCTGGAGTGACAGGACAAGAGGGGAATGGCTTCCCACTGCAGGGGCAGGGGTAGCTTAGAGATTAGGGAGAATGTCATCTTCACTGTGGAACTTCCTGCCCGCAATTCAAACCATGACTTACTTCCATGTTGGAAACAACTTTTTGTAAATTTCAAGGCCTGAACAAATCAACATTTTTGCTTTTCTTGCCTAAACTACAATTGCCTTGCTCCTTCCTTTCATTACTTTGTCTGTGTTTTAGTTGGCACACTTTTTTTCCATGAAGCACAGACCCAAAACTGGACCCAGTGCTCCAGCAACAGCCAGGAGAGCCAGACAGGATCTCACACAAATCTCAGAGCTCTAGTTTGTAACCTTGCCACGGTTTTGTGCCCTGTTTTTGTGGCCTCAGCTGTTTTGGGCTCTGACCAGAACTGGTTCTACACTCACTGCCCATCCCATGCTGATGCTACTTTTTATTCTTGCTCACATGCAGGAACTTGCATCCACTGAATAACAGCCTTGGGCTCAAATTGTACCTTCAGTTATCCAAATGCTTCAAAAATCTGCTTTGTAGCACCTTGCAGAGACACTTGGTGCTATGGGATCTGCGTATTTAATAAGCACATCAGTGAAAATAAAAACCAATCCCACAGCCCTGATTTTCCAACAAAGCCCAAACATACTCAATCATCCTGCAAGGAGAGTTTTCTCTTAGTTTTAAGTGGAATTTCCTGTGCATCAGTGTGTGCCCATGGCCTCCAGTCCTGGCACTGGGCACTGCTGGGAAGAACCTGGCTCCTTCCTCTTTGCACCCTCCCTGAAGGTGTTTGCAAACCTGGATGAGCTCTTCCTGAGCCTGTCCTTCCACAGGATGAACAGCCCCAGCTCTCCCAGCTTTTCCTCACTAGAGGGAGCCCAGTGTCCCCCGTGGGCATCTCAGGGATCCCACAGCGGGGTGGTGGCTGCTGTGATGTTGGAGGTGGGGCAGGTGACAGTCGTGGAAGGACATGCTGCTGCCTCTGCAGGCAGCACTGGAGCTCAGTGGGAGCCAGCTCCACCATGCACTAGGACAAGAAGAGGGGTCTGGCTGTACTGGGGTCCCTTTTGGTCCCCCTGATCCCTCTTGAGACAGCTCCAGAGGCAGGAGCAGGCAGCTGGGTCCTCTTCCCCCCTGTCACTGATGTGGGGCAAAGCACAAAAAATACATGCTCACACACACAAGACACAATTTTCATGCATGATGCTCACAAGGGGAAATGATGCTGCAGCTTAGGAATGGGCAGGATCAGGCTCCAAACCTCCTGGATACACCACGCTGCATCAGTGACCCCAGTGTGCTGAGGAGCAGTGTCCCTCCACGAGAAACAAGGGCCAAAAAATCCACCACAAATGAGCTATGCTTCAGGAGGACTACAGAAAACAAGGGAGATAGTTACAGGAAGGAGCAGCAAATTAAATCTCTACAAGTGGCATGGAGACCATCAGTAAAGCCCACACTGGGCACATGGTCTGGGAGGAAAGGCTTGAGAAAGGGTTCAAGAAAGCTGGTACAGCTCAGCTGGGGAGGAGTATATTATTGCATTAAGATATATTAGCACAGCAGGCTAAAGAAGTTAAAAAGCCAGACCTACTTTCTAACACAGAAAACAGAATAGCTCTTGGCCTCAATCAGATTAAATGCAATAATTTAATCAGGCAGGCCAGAAATCAATCTGAGGACTGGTTAAAGGCATCCAACTGCTGCCAAATCTTTTTTTGTGACGCATGAGGAGCAAGGCAGGGAATCCACTGAGATGTGGAAGGAGCCTCAAAGAGGTGCATGCAGAGGAGGGGATCCTTTCTCACCTGGGACCAGCCACTCCCACTCCTCAGGACTCAGCCCAGCCACCCTCCCCACGTCAGACCCGGGGAAAGCAGCCCAGGAAGGGGACAGGCAGAGCACTCACAGCGAGCTGGCGGAGCAGGAGCTGGGGCTCAGTGATGTGGGCCAGGGGGGGCTGTGGCTTGGCACACACGAACATCAGGTTGGAGAAGAGCCGCAGGAAGCGGAGCTCCACCCGCGCCCCGCACGGGAAGGTCACCGTTCTGCTCGGCAGCTCTGGAAGGGAAATTCGAGCACCATCAGCTCCTCTGAGGCTTCTGTCAACACCTCCCTGCACAGCAGCGTCCCTGAGGGCCACAGGCACCCCCAGCTGCCTCCTCCCCACGCCCTGCATGGCTCACCTTGGCCGTGTCCCCAGTGCTCGGCGGCTGCTCCCGAGGGACAGATGGGGTCCGTCAGGGACCGGGCTTCCTTCAGGGTGTGCTTGATCTCCATCACCTGCTTCCCAGTGACCAGGGGATCACGGCCAATGTCTGTGGGAAAGAGTGGGGAGCACAAGGATCACTCCAGGCTCCTTACTGATCTCCCTGCCTTTCAGGCCCTACATGAATGTCTCCATGCTGCTCGGAGGCTACTGAAAGCTCCCATGGGCCACGGCCTGTGATTTGGAGCTTAGGGAAGAACAGAGGGCGGGATGGGATGGGATGGGATAGGGCAATGTGGAGCCACTGCTGTCTCTTCTCACCCCTGCCACTGAAACAAGTGTTTTCTAGCTTCTCTTACCTTCTAACACATCCTCCAGCATGTGTGTAACCTTTTTCTCTTGCAGAATGTGTTTCTTCAGGTATTTCATGAAGATCCCAGAGCTGAACTCCCCATCCTGCAATTCATAGGCTTCTGCATCTTCACTCCTGCAAGAGTAAGGGTATTTCTTCAGAGTCCCTGCAGTTCTGCATTGGACATGAAGTTCAAGGTCAGTCTGGGGTGGCCAACTCCATCCAGACTGTACTGGCTGGGTCAGAGTGAGCTGCTCAAGGAATAACACAAAGTGCTTTGTTTGTGCCCCAGAGAGGATGGGCAGGCCACAGGACAGGAAAAAGCAGGGAAGGGAATGGGATAGGCCAGCACAGTCTCCTTTGCCAGCCCAGGTGGGTGACAAAGATGAAAAGCCAGTGGAACTGCACTGGACCAGTAAATAATGCCCAGCATCTCAGGAGGCTTTGGGTGAGCTACTCATGGGACATCCACCTGGGGAACCAGGCTGAAGATCTTGTGTGTGAAGGTGACAGGACCTTCACACACAACTTTTAACTGAAGCACAGGCTGATGGCAGCAGGAAGGACAGAAGTGCCTGAAGAGCACACCCAGCAGATGGAGGGTGAGACCAGAGGGAACATGAAACCTCTCCAGCCTCTGTGCATGAAAGGATGAGAGGAGACAGGGCTGTGCCAGAGTCTGGTCCTGTGGGAGGCTGTAGGAATGGTGAAGTCACTCACGTGGAATAGCCATAGACAGTGTTTCCCCAGGGCTCCAGGGGCTGCACCTGGGACAAGGCACGTCCTGGGTTGTACCTGGAGAGGAGGCAAAGGCACAAGTCAGTGTTGAGGACATCTGTCAGCTTCACATGTCAAGGACATTTGTCAGGAGACAAATCCTACACATTCCTCATGTCCATCTCTTAGGGGTGGCAGCTCAACTGTCTTTGCTGGGGGTCTGGAACACCCCACGGGCCCTTCCAGACCATGCCCACACCTTTGCCTTAGGGAACCAAACAGGCTATGGGTGATACACCCCCAGATCTCCCTGAGAGACAGGATCAGGACACACACACAAGTCTCAAAGCCCAAAACTGGTCCTGGCACTTCAGTCTAGACACAGCTGAATGAGCACAGCCCCTATTATTCCCAAAATCAGGTAGATCCACGGTGACAGGATCTGACTTCCAACAAAAAAGGTATCTTAGTTGCACTGAATGGCTAAACCTTGCCCATCTGACTGCAGCCAGACTGACAGCGTGGGGACAGGCTGCCTCCAGTTCACACCAGTGACTCGGAGCTGTTCCCAGTCACACAGTGACAGAGGCAGTGTAAGTCCATGTAATTCAATTCCACCACAGTTTCCTGGGGCTGGAGCTGGCACACTAAGGAGAGCAGAAAGGACAGGGGTATTTCCAGCAGCCAGTGTGTGACCTACTGCTGGTGGCACAGTCTGGAGATGTTCAATGGCAGAATTCAACTGGCTTGTGTAAGTTGTCCTAAAGATGATCAGAAGAGCAAACGTGAGAAAGGAGACATGTTTCTAAATCTGAATATTGAGATTTATCTGCTCTTCAATTGCTCTTAAAGTAATGCAGAAATCTTTGGTTCCAGGTCCTAGGATAAATCAGGGAATTCCTGGAAAAGGCAATCACATCCACCCAAAATCAGTATATAAATGTATGAGGCTACACACAGGCTCTGTGCTCTGATTCCTCCCCTGCTAAGGCTGAGCATCTGCTCCCACTTGGCACAGGGAGATGTGTTTCTCACCACCCTGGCATTTCTGATGCCAACACATGGGGTGAGCAGAAACTCTGGGTGAGCTCCCTCTTAGCACAGACACAGCTTCATGCATGAGTCTGACCAGGAGGGTGTTGGGAAAGGAGGCCCTGGGAGCCTTGCTTTACACAGCAGTGTAAACACACACAGCTATGAAATCCAGATGCTTTCCTGAGCTGAAATGGTGACTTCTTGAAAAAAATGAGCTCAAGAGAGAGCTCCTGCCCCAAGATCAGGGATAACACCCACTGCATGAAGTGCTGTGCTTGCTGTGGAAAAGGGGAGGTGTGAACTTCACGGAAGGAGGGAGAAAACCAGCTGCACAAGTTTGCCTAAATATAACAGCAGATCTCACACTGCATCCTCTGAGCACCACTGAGACTCCATTGAGCAAAGGAACCAGTGGCAATGCCAGGGAAGGAGACAGCAGCTCAAAGGGAGACAGACAGCATCTCAAAAGCTGTTTTACAGATTGTTAACACTTGCACTGGTGGGGCCTGTGCAGCCCCCACACTGCCTCCCCATCACACAGATGGCACACCAGCAGCCCAGAGCTGCACCAGCCCAGCTCCAGCAGAGTATCCATGAGAGCCAGGTGTTCCTGCTTTGCTGCAGGCCATCCCCTGCCTCTGATCATACTGGGGAGGGGAGCCAGGTGCACCAGGGAAGCAACACACTGCTCCCAGCAGCCAGCAGGAAGGGACAAAGGGGATGCTCCACTCTGGGGAGTTTAGGCCAGCATTAGGGGACATCAAGCTCCTGCTCCAGAGCTGTGGGACAAATCCCAGCACAGACAGCTTTAAGCTATACAAAGCAAGCAGCCCCATCACTGCAGCTAAAAGGCATCCAAAATTTATCATCTCTCCAGGGGCTGGCAGTTCTCTCAGGGTACCAAAAGCTCTGTTTTCTTTCCAATTCTTAGCACAGGAACCACAGCACAGAGAGAGAGATATTCCTACATTTGCTCTCCAGGTCCTCTCCGACCTGTAAATCTGCCTCAGGAGCCTGAAACAAATGAACTAATGACATCTTCTGCTGCAACAGTCCACCCACCTCTGCTGAAATTGGACAAGTAGTAATTTCCTGCATCAGGATAGAAGTCTGCGGGCCAAGGGAGGATGATGGGTTTTCCACAGAAAGTGGGAAAACGCTGATCCCTGACCTCAGCAGCAGCAGCTTCACAACATGACCACTTCAGAAGGATTTAAGCCCAGCAAAAATGAAGTAGCAGGGCTTAAAACATTTTCCTGTCATGTTGCACTCTTCTCACAGACGTTAACAAAAATGGAGCCAGGAGAAGAGAAGTGAACGCTCCCAGCCTGAGCACGTGGGAAATATGGACCAGGAAAGCACACAATCAGCAAGATCAGATCAGGTGGGTCAGGCTTGAAACACAAAAGACAAACCCCATGCTGAGTTTCAGCCAACAATTTATGCCAGGCAGAGTCACCCCTCCATAGGCTTGAGGCAACCTGCCTGTATTTGCCAGGCTTCTTCACCTCAAAAAACCAAGGGAGGGTTTCCAGCTCCTTCTCGCCAGCAGATCTCAGACAAGGTCTGCACTAAGACATGACTGACCCATCCCCAGGACACCCTGCAGGACCTGACAGCGTGATTGATTTTATGGCATAGATCAATAACCTCTGGCAGGGGCTCAGCAGCACCATGGGGGCTGTCAAAACCCACAGCTGAGGATAGCTCCCCTCCCCCAGCCCTCAGAATGCCCATCCCAGGTAAGGAAGGGGGAAGAGGCCTCTACCATTTCCTGCAGGTGTCCAGCAGGATGATGTTCAGGGCTGTCTGCTGCTGCTGCATCTTCTGGAGGATCCTCTGCACGCTGATGCAGTTCTCAGGGGCATAGGGCTGTGGAGCATCCACAGGGACCATGTAGTTCCTCCCCAGATGTTCGTAGCCATGCCCAGCATAGTAGAATATAGCTGGGAACAGGGAGAGGACAGCATGAATCAGGATGCCAACCTGCAGGTCTGTAACCAGCTCCCCATGGCCACATCCCACCCCATCCTGAAAGGTGCAGGGCAGACCTAGACCAGTAGCACCTATGGAACTGGTGAACGTTGACCTCACAATTTCAACGTTTTCCCAATTTATTCCCTTCATCAGTGTTGGAAGCAGCCCCAAGAGGCTCTCCTGTGCTTGTGGATTCCTGCACTGTTTGTCTCCTGAAGGCCCTGCGTTTACACACTTCCAAACCCTCTGTGCTGCAACACCCAGGCTCAGCACCTGCCAGGCTGAATTTCATCCTTGCACCACGTTTTGGTTAGTCCTCAGCTCTCTGAAGGAATAAGGCAACAGAAAAAGATTTTACCAGGATGGAAAATACATTAACAGCCATTTAAATGAGAAGCTCCTCAGTTTCCTAGCTTTGGAGAAGAGACGAACAACTGAATAGGTGATGGGAAACATTCTCCATTTCAAAGGTCTGCCTGTATTCACACACCTATAAACTGGTGAAAAATTAGACACAGAGAGAGATGAGTTCTTCAGAAGTCCAGAACATCAGGACTGTGTGCTTCAACAACCTCAAAGCAGGCACCAGCCCCATTAGGCAGGGGAGGATTCAGACTCACACAGATGCCAGTGGGAAGCCCAAAACCCAACAAGAATTTTGCATTTTACTCTTAGGCACAATGAAACTTAGTAATGGTTTCTGCCTTCCCAAGAGATGGCAACATAGCCATCCAGGTGGGAAGCCAGCACTGGGGAACTTGGCGTGGCCTAAGCTGGGGCTCCTTTCCAACCCTGTGCTCAGTGCAGGGCTGCCACAGGGATCCCCAAACAGGCTGGAGCTTCTCAAAAGGAGAATGGCTGGCTACCCCTCCCCAGGACCAATGCCACAGCTTGGGGGATGCTGGTTGGTGAAACCTGGGGAATTGAAATGGGTTAAAAATAGCTCTACGAGGTGACACAGAGAGTTGTGTCACTACAGCTGGGGGACAGTGAAGAGTGAGAGGTCAGAAATGGGAAAAAGCAGCTAAGAGGCAACAGCAGGAGAAATTCTCCACTCAAATTCACTGCCAAAACCCACACTTCAGTGAGTAAACTCCCTTCTATTTTCCTTCCACTGCTCCTGCCCCTGCACTTGGCACTTTGGCTCACTTTGGTGTGATTCTGCAAGGATGCAGTAACAGCGGCAGGAGCTGAAGGGCTGAAAACATGATCTCATTGTGTGGAGAATGGAAAACATGATCTCATAGTCAAAAAGACCTCGAGTCACCTTTGGTTTCTGTTCTCAGGGGACAATGGAAACTTTCTCAAATGGCCATTCTCACAGGTGCCCATGAGATTTGGGTTCCTCTTCTGGTGGATCAGCAGCCAGAGACAGCAGGCTCTGATTTGCAGAAGCTTTAAACTTTCGTAGCTTGCAAATCAAAGCCACAGAACCCTCCTCTGAGACTAGAAAAGAGTACAAAAAAGGAAGCCTTCTAGAAAAATCAGATGCAGGTTGGGCCCCTTGAGCCATTGAGCACTGGTGGCTTTTGTCCTTCTGCCTGTACATGCAAGGGAAGTGATGACATCTGTTACCAGGCAGCATCACTGAGGCTTGGAAAAAATGAAATGTAACAGGAAAGCCCACAATGAATGATTCACTCCTTAAATCTTCTAACTTTTGAGGTCTTGTTCAGTACCTGAATGTACCACCAAGTGCTCACCATGCCATAGAAACCACAAAGACTTGTGTTCAAATCAAGATAGGTGAGTTTCACATCACCTGAGCAACTTCTCCAACCTCTTCTGGACTGAATCTCTCCTTCTGAACAGGAAAGTCAACAATTTTCCCAGAGAAAGAAAGGGATGTTTCATTCTGAGTTCTTCCCACATTGTATGAGTCAGAACTGCTCATCACAGAAAAACTTCTGAGTACCAAATTAAAAAGGGGAAGCTCCAAGCACTGCTTATAATGCAGGAAATGTCAGCATGAGGCTGAATAAAGGTGTGGCTCCATATTTCTAGTATTCCACGCACGATTTTCTGCTTGCGTTGCATTTCCAACATAATTTTTTTTTATTTGGGACTTTTTAGAATGCTTAAAATAACATCCACGGGGATTCCTCACTTGCCTGAGGGTGCAATAATTAGATCACTTACAGGATGTTTCAGGAGCTTTCAAAAATCCTGTGAAGCTTTTTTAAGATGAGATCTAGAGGAAAAGCAGCCCAATAATCCACCAGCTCCATACAATGAATTGGACAAACCTTTGGATCATAGGATTACTAGGGCTGGAAAAGACCTCCAAGATCATCAAGTCCAACCTTGGACTGAACCTCACCATGCCCACCAAACCATATCATGCACTGCCACATCCACTTGTTTTTGAACACTTCAGGATCCAGGCCTGGGAGCTGTGCTGGCATGGTCTGGAGATGTGGAAGGAAGTCTCACAAAAGCCTACAGTTCCTGGAGGGACAGTTACAGACACCAAAAAGCCCAACTGTCCTCGTCAGCACAGACCATACAACAAGGGGCAATGAGCACCAACCCATGGAGCTTCATGTTCACCAGTCAGCCTTCTCCTCCCTCTGTATGTGCTCTCCTGACTTCAGCTCTGTTGGCTGCTACACAGGGGGTGGCACCTCCAGATTCCTCAAGCAAGAACACTGGGATGCCACAGGAGCATGTCCAACATGCACAGGGGTGTACAGGACTGGCTGTCACAGGCACCTCTGGGGTCTTTACCAGGCTGCCTGAGCTGCTCTCTCACCACAGCTGGGGCACTCAGCAGGCAGCCTGACCCAGTGTCCCACCATTCAGTTAGGATTCCAGCAAATGTGGCAAAAATCCTGAACCCAATCACTGCTGGATCCAGCCCACACTGGGGTTCACTGCCTTCAAAGAATAGCACAATACTCAGCCTGGAGAGTTGTTATGAAAACCTCAACCTAAGCAGGCATTGCCTCACAAACACTCAACTCAGCTGTTGATGTTTTTCCTGACAGCACACAAAATCAATTTTGCCACGAAGGATCAGAGAGCACGAATGCAGAGAAGCTCTAGAAGTTTAAATAAGGCATGACAATATGAAAGGTTTGCTGTTTCCAAGCCTTTTTTTCTCTCTAGAGCTTAGGAAGGGCCATGGATAAAATGCCTTTTGGTCCTCACATGCCATGGATGGAGGGTAAGAATGGCAGCTGGGATGACTCTGGCCTGGAAGAGGTAAAGCCTGGGATACAAGGAGATTTCAGAGAGCAACAAGAAAAGGAAGCTGCAAGGGAAGTCATGGGAATATTCTGTCACAGGTGATTTGCTCAGAGTGCCAGGACTGCGCGTGGCCCTTCCCACCAGCTCAGCTCCCCAGATGAGTCAGTGCTTCCCAGAACAAGGTGGTTGTGCAGCATTTACCTCGTGGCCAGGTCCCCATCCACTGCACAACCTCCAAACCTCACGCTGAATGCCAGCCTGGAATCAGCCCACGCTGATTTTCACTGCCTGGGTGCCACTCAGCTGCCACGTAAGCCTCACAATGAGGTTTGGAAGCAAAATAAAAACACCTGCAAGGTGTTTTCAGGGTATCTGTCCCACTGTGAGAATCTCAGGGACCCCAAAGATGCTACATTCACCACCAAATCTGAACACCTGCTTTAAGATCCACAAGATCTGCTGGTTGGGTTTGTGGTTAAGGAACACTTCCTAAATGAGCACAGTGCACAATTAAGCACAAAGCACAACCTCAAAGCCACCTGCAGCTGGAAATGCTCTTCTGCAAAAGGGTTGTCAGGGGCCCAAATTAGACCTTCAGGAAAGAGAAACAAGGAAATCAAGACCAGATGCAGCAGTCAGGGCCCAAAAGGAGCTCCCCACCTCACACATGAGTCGGGGGGGACACAATCAGCCAGTCTCCTCAATTCTTTTATTCAAGGAAAAATCAAAACTTTCCCATTCACTATTGGAAGAACTGGCTCCCCAAAAACTCAGTGTGAGCCCATGCTGTTGGGATTGGAGGTGAGCTACATGTTGGAGAAACATCTGCCAAAACTAAACCACGCTTATGCAAAGGCTCCTGCCAAGCCTGGTCTCCTTTGAGACAGTAACATTCAATTTCTTCTCTTTTAATCCAAGAGCTGTTCAGAAAATTGCCTAATCCCTACCCAGCACAGGTGGCTGAGCTGGCTTGGCCTTACCATAGACTCCCTTGCCCAGGAGCTGCAGGAACTGAGCGACCGCTGTCGCCATCTCAGCCTTGTTCAGATCCAGCAGGGAGACAACCTGGAAGCCCAGATGCTCCAGAAGATGTCTCAGCTCAAACACATCCCTCACAGGAGCCATGAGATTGGGGTGATGCTGGTAACGGTTGTTGCCCACTAAAAGTGCTATTTTGCCTGTAGCTGAAAGAAACACCGAGTGAAAAAGCTGTAAATGCTCAGCAGGAGGCAAGATCTCACCTCCTCCTGCTGCAGTGAGGATATGGGCAATCTAAGCAAGGACAGCCCTTGGCTTTCTGAACACTTTGACAAAATACATAATCATTTTGGCAGAAAGGCTTGAAAAGTTTTCAGCTGACATTCAAAATCCCAGGAATGCAGAGGTTCTGCTCTAGCTGCCCTACTGTGACCACAGGTCTGGCACATCAGTGTGCATGGGAGGGGGATGCACTGAGCCAGGCTGAGGGGTCCTTTCCCTCCCAGGGCTGAAGGAGAGAAACCCATGGCTCCTGCTTTGATTCTAATCACACCTCCTACTGTAAAGAAAAGGGATTTATGTTGCTCGGTGGTGGTGGGAGTAAGGAACTTTGCCCTGCTCTGAAGAGGTATTTCAAGTAGGGATAAGTTGTCATTTGAACAACACTTTTTAAAATCATTTGGCAGGCACAGAGCTTAAGACTCAGTTACTCATTAGGAATAATCTTACTCCACTTGCTGAAAAAGACCAGGGCTTGGCAGGGAATGGGACTCATTTTATGCTGTACAGCTGTAATCCAAAAGTGCAGAGCCTATGGCAATGTGGTCATAAAGGCTTGAAGCAGTCTTTGCAGGAAAAGCTCTCCCATTCCTTGTCCTCCCATCCACCCTGGAGCCTGGCTTTTAATTAAGGAAATAATTGCTCAGGAAGAAAAGATGACAGTACTCACCAAAAAACTTTCCAGAGCCTGGACACGTACCTGGGAAAGAAAGAAGGAAATGATAAGCCTGGGTTCAGTAAGCCAGGGCCCAGCACCCAGTGCCAGGTGTGAATTCTGCTCCAATAGCCCTGACACTGCACAGCTGGATCAAACACACAGAGGATCTGCACAAGCAACGTTCCTCAGACAACTCCTTCATGACCTGACTGCTAACCTTAAAGACACTGGTCTGATGCTAGGAGGATTTATGAAATCCAGACTGATTTATGACATCCTGAGCAGCTGGGAAGCAAAGCCTGGAGAAGTGGCACACCAGGGAAGGAGGGTCAACATGGAGAACTCATACCTGATGTGACTCACCTGCTACCTCTGCAGCAAAAGCAAAGGAAACAAAATTACTCAAGGTCAATACAAGCTCCAAAACAAGAGTTTCTCCCCATAAATGTGGAGTGCAGAGGAAGTTGCCCTGTTTGCTTTTGATTGCAACAATATTCCCAGTTTTTCATCTCCCTGCTCTGCCTTTTCCTGTTGTTTTAGCAGTTCTGGCTCAGAAAAGCCACTCACTTTGGTCCACAAGCTCTCCTGCCTGAGCACTTCCAGTCTTTTAAAATCATTATTACCCTCACAGCTCCAGCTTTTCCTATTTCAATCAGAAATAAATTTAAAAATCCAGCCCAGGAAAAAATTCTAGAACCCTAAATGCTTTAAAAGAAGAAATTAAGAATAGATTGCATAAATCTCATGGGTATTGAAGACCTCTGGTTCCTGAACCAGTGCTGCTGATACACAAGAGATGCCTGAAAAGCTGCAGAAAAAAACCACTCATTCTTTTCCATCTCCTACAGAGGCACCTGTTGCATGTGAAAGCTCCCCAGCAGTAACACATTGAACCCAACCCAATCTCGTGTCCTTTTCTCACTGTCTGTCCCCCCAGGATGTGTTTTGCCAGCTGTGAGGAGGCAGGCAGAGTGCTGTTTGGCTACACAAGATCAATTTGTACTTTGGAGAAATTTTAAAGCCAGCATAAAAGGCAGGATAAGAAGTTTATGGCATAGAAAAATCTCTAGGTGGAGTAAAGAGCCAGCAAAGTCAGCCTGAACTATAAGCTATGCCTGAGCCATTCCTGATGCACATAAGGTAAGTCAGAAGGCCAAAGCAGCCAGAAGTGGAGCATGCCTGAGGCTCTGGGAACACATCCTCTCCCTGGGACCCATCACTCACACAGCACCAGCCCTGAGCTGCCAGCCCAAGGGGCCTGAACCTTCCCAAATAAACACCATCCACTCCAGCTCTGTATCCAAACACATCCCTTAGTGTCAGTAAGACTGGAAATGAGTATGGCCACAGGAGCCTGCTGTGATTTGGCCTGGAGCTGTGAAAGCAGCACCTTGGCACGGTGTCTTGGCAGGTCTGCAGGCAGCAGCTGAGAGCACTGAGCCTGCCCTTACACAGCAGGTGCCTGACCCACGACAGGCCCAGGAGATCCCACCTGCTGGACAGCGCATCACCGCATTTAGGGGCTTTCCCTCAGAGCCCCACTGTCAAGGAATCCCGTTTATCATGGTCCCTGTTCACCTCCAGAGAGCACCAAATTCCTCTGTCCCCTCTAACTGTGTCTCACACCAGGTGACATGCAGCAAAGTGATGTGGGTGGCTCTGCTCACCGACGTGAACGTCCACGGCGTTGGTCCAGTGCTCTCCGTGGTTGTTGGAGGCACAGCAGAGGTACGTGCCAGAGTCACTGACCTTGGTGTGGGTGATCTAGGCAGATCAAAAGTTAAATTACATTATTTATGGTGAAAGTCTGAAGCTCCATGCCAGGACCTGCTGAAGGCACTCGTGTTCATGGAATAAAAAGTATTTTTCCTGCTGTTTGTAGAGATTTTACCTCACAAAGAATCAGGACAGGGACAAGAACCAGAGCAGTACCAGCTGGTGAGGACTGCAGTTCTCCAGCCCAGGATCCTGCTCAGAGAGGGACTAAAGCCACCACTGAGTCAGGGTGGCCACAGCTCTGTCTATTTAAGCCCTGAACACCTCCAAGCACATTGCTGCCTTTCTGGTTCCAGCACAGCACCAACCACCTCCAAAAACAACCTCTTCTTAGTGCCCAGACTGCACTTTCCCATCAGAATTGCAATGTAAGGCCACCATGTAATACCATCTAAGACCGTCTGTAACACCATTGACCACTACTGAGGAGAGACTGGATGTCTTCTCCTTGTGCCTTTCACATGATGCTCTGGGAGGAAATCTCCTTTCCTGATTCAAGAACACAGCACTGATTTACACTTAGCCAGAGACACAGAATAAAGCCAGCCCCTCTACTGCCTTCCTGACTCTCTTCTGTCAGGACCAAGCACATTTGTTTCTAGGTCTCCAGCAGGCAGACAGGATTCCCACAGCTCCCAGTCCCCAGTCCCCTTCACACACAGACAGTAACTGTTCTCATGTCTGCATAAAAGGGCACAAGAGATGTGCTGAGAGCCCTTGACACATCTATGGATTGTTCACCTCTGAGAGGAATATCCACAGCTTTGGAAGAAATCCATAAAACATATTCCCCCTTCACACAGAGTCATCCAGCCAGCTGCCAGAGCAGCAGGGTGATACGTGGAGGGCTTTCTCACAACCCTGCAATCAGCTTCTCCCAGCACCCAAAGCTCCTGTACTATCCCCAGAAAACCTTACCCAGAGCTTTTTTCTCTTCTGCTGCTCCAGCAGGTTCCCATTGCGGTACCACTGGTAGCTGGGGGCCGGGACCCCCATGGCAGCACACTGCAGCTGCAGCGGCTGCCCCACCTCCACCCGCTGCTCCCGGGGGTTGAGGACAATGACTGGCTCTCCTTGCCACAGCCGAGGGGGCAGACCTGCAAGGCAGCAAGACAGAATTGGCCCTCCCTCCACAGGGACAGCAAACAACGCCATCTTCAACCATCACTACTGCACCTTTCTCCTTGGGGAGCAGGGAAGCCTTGGGAGCGATGCCTGTGATAGTAAATGCCACACCAAAGCCCTGCCTCTGGCTTCCCAAACCTGATCCTCGCCCTTTCCTGACAAAGGTGAAGTCAACATTCTAAGGAAAACCACACCCCACTTTTGGTCAACTTTAAAGTAGCCAGATGGGTTCTTCCAGTTCCAATACCCAGAATAACTCTGGGAAACCCATGGCAAGCATGAGGTGCAGGTGCATTGGACGGGGCTTGGAGCAAGCTGGTCTAATAAGAGGTGTCTCTGACCATAGCAAGGGGCAGAACACAGTGACCTTGAAGGTCCCTTCCAACCCAAACCATTCTGTGATTCCATAATACATCAAGAAGGTAAAAGACAAGCTTGTACCTCTGGCAACGCACTGATGGACCTCTACCTTCACCCAGTCAGAGAAGACAGCATTTCTGTGGAGGTCATTGACTCTGCAGGTGTAGAGCTGGGTCTGCTCTGCAATGATGGGCAGGTCTTGGTTGGTTGCCCCAGGAATCAGGCGGCAGTCAGACTAAAGGGAAAACATAGGCAGTGGGCAGCAATTCCCTCCTCACTGCTGGCAGTAGAAGGCACTAGGATGCCTCTTGTAAGAGCAACAGAAGTGGAAACCCTGATTTCCTCCCCTCCTTCAGCTCCCTCACTGTGTGCAGGGACCCAGCTGGGTGCCATACCCAGGGCCACCCCATCCTTACCTGGTACTGACAAAACCACTGGTACTGCAGCGAGGTACGTCCCTGGGCTCGGCACCGCAGCGTGAAGGAATATCCCACCGGGACAGAGACAGAGACTGGCTGCTCGGTTATGGTAATGGCTGTGGAGAAACAGCAGGTGGAGGTGGGAACAACACTGCAGTCACAGCCCAGCATCCCACTCTCAGCCAGTGGCCAGGCATGGTGGGCTTCAAGAGGGACACCCATCCCAGCAGGCAGGGAAGATTGGAAGAATAGGGATGCTCTTGTGGCCAGAAAATGGAGAGATGGATGGATGGATGGATGGATGGATGGATGGATGGATGGATGGATGGATGGATGGATGGATGGTGTGTAGGTGGAGAGACAAGGGGATGGGCGGATGGAAGTATGGGTGGGTGGATGGATGACATGGGGCTCTTTGGGTATTCTCGCAAGTGCCCGGGAGCTGGCACGGTCACTCTGCCCCGTGGTCGGTCACTCACCTTCCTGCATCGCTTCTCCGGCGGCTCCTCCCCGGCCTGGGCGGCCGCCGGCCGACCCCGCGGCGGTTCCTCTCCCCGGGACGCGGCGGCGGCACCTGCGGCGAGGGACGGCGGCGCTGGGGCGGGTCGGGCCCGGACGAGGGGCCGCTCAGCCGGCCACCGGGGGCGGCGCCGCCACGCGCCGGGGCTGCGGCCACACCGCACGGACCGGCCCCGCACGGACCGGACCGGCACGGACCGGACCGGCTCCGTATGGACCGGACCCGCACGGACCGGCTCCGCATGTCTGGCCCGCTCCGACGGGAACGGTGCAGGACGCGCCCCTCACCAGGATGCCGAGGCTGCCCGCATGCCCACGAGTGACCTCTCCCCCTCCCCAGGGGTGTCCTCACGCCCACCCCCGCTGGTGACCTCGCCCCCCTCCCACACTCCTTACAGGTGGTCTCCCCACCGCCACTGTGACCTCACCCTCATTCACACGGGTGTCCTTCCCTCCTCCCTACAGTGTGTCATCGTCCCGTCCCCGTCCCCACCAGCCCACTCCCCCCGTTACAGGCGTACTTGTCCACATCCCACAAATATCCTCACCCCTTCCCCACGGGAGTTTTTACCCCCGTTCCCACTGGTGACCTCACTCAATCCCCACAGTCGTCCTTGCCCCTTCGCCACAGGGGTCCTTGTCCCCATTCTGGCTGGTGACATCATCTACTTACCAGGAGTGTCCTTCCCTCCTCCCCACAGTCCCCCCTCCACTCCATACAGGTCTACTTGCCCCTCTCCTCTCAGATGTCCTCCACCCCCTGCTGGGTATACTCACCCATATCCCCAAGGGTGTCCTCACCGTGTCCCCACAGGTGGCCTTGTCCATCCCCCCGCGCTCTCATCCCCTCAGCCACTCTTGCCCCCTGCCCACACCCCCCATGCCCACCGCCCTCACCCCCCAGGCTCCCCGGCCACACTCACGTCTCTCCTGGGGACCGCGGCCCGAAAGGTTCATGGTGGAGCCAGCACTCCCAGGGTGGGTGTGCGGAACCCCCTTCCTCCGAGAAGTCCCCGCCAGCTGGGCCGGGCATCACCAGCGCCCCAGGGGAAGTGGCGCTGGGCCAGCCCTCTGGAGGTTGCACAAGCCCCTCTGGGAAAAAAGGGACGCACGGAGGATTCCACAGCGCTGTGCCGAGACTTGCGCTTGCAAGGTTAGGGCAAGGTCAGGCTCATTAATCCAAAACTCATCACCTTTCCAGAGGCATCAGAACTACAAGGAAATGAGCTGGAAGTGGTGGCTAGAGAGGACAGAGGGTGGCCAGGGAGTGACTGATTGTCATTCCCAAAGAACTTTCCAAAGTCACTTCCAAAGTGACTGGGAAGGGAGTGTGACACAAAGCTTGGAGGAATGAACTCAGGGCAGACAAATTTGCATCTGTCTAGCTTCTCCCTGTGTTAATAGTCCTAGGAAGCAGGCTCCCATGGTGCCAGATGGGGACCAGAACCTCAGCATGAGGGGGACCATGGACCAGTTGAGAAGAGGCTGTGAGAGACTCTCACTCTGCTGCTGAAATTTCTCTATCCTGTAGCTATGGGCTGACCAAGGAAAAGCGAGGCCATCAGGGACGTCTTTCCCAGGAGGCAGCATGGAAGGGCACAAACAGGGGCATCAGGATGGCAGAGAGAGGCAGTTGTGGCTGAGTGCTCATGGATCCATGCCCTATGGAGCCCAAGGCAGGGCTGAGCTGTGCCTTTGGGCCAGAGGGACTAAGCAAGGCTGAAGGATGCACCTCTAACTGCTGCTTTACTTTTTTTATACTTTTTTTTTTACTTTTTTTTATAACAGATGGGGAGGAAGGTGGTAGGAAAAAGCCAAACCAAACACAACTGCTGGATGGAGGAAAGACTTTCTCCCTCCATGTCCTTTCCTTTGTGCAGAATGGGATAGTTACACTGCAAAGGCAGGAAAACCTGCTATACCCTGTCCACTCAATCTGACCCAGAGCAATCCCTGCTCCAACAAGGACTGGTCCTCTCCTTCCATGGATACAGTAAAAGGTGATGCATAGCATAGGACCTTCCTGACAGCTGCTCATCTCCCCAGCTGTCTGAGATCACACAGACCCTTCTTTTTCCTATTTTCTCCAGGGTCCAGCTAGGCATTTGGAAATATATCTATAAAAGATTGAAAATTAAGGTTCTGGCTGAGTATGTGGCAGCAGCTCTGTGGCACATCTATCCTGCAGAGTTATTATCTATGCGACACACATAGCTAATAAATTGTGCTCATCTCCCCAGCTGTCTGAGATCACACAGACCCTTCTTTTTCCTATTTTCTCCAGGGTCCAGCTAGGCATTTGGAAATATATCTATAAAAGATTGAAAATTAAGGTTCTGGCTGAGTATGTGGCAGCAGCTCTGTGGCACATCTATCCTGCAGAGTTATTATCTATGCGACACACATAGCTAATAAAAGTGATCATTAAATTAACCCCAGCACTCTCCCATAGCTAAAGATGACACTTCTGGCTGATGCAGAATCTCTTCAAACAGCTAGAGGTTGCTGTGTTCCCTGTGGACTGTTTCTCCAGGCTTGAGAGAAAGAATCCTCCTCAAAATACCTCCTCAGTAAGCCCATTGTGCTCATCCTCTGCCAGAGCCCTGCCCTGGCACCACCCGTTAATATTTGGGGAAGAACCAGATGTGAGAGCTTATTGCTTATTGTTGGAGTGCAGGAAGAAGCCTGTCATTTTAGAAAGGGAGGAACTTAAGGGTGCAGGATGGGAAAGGGAAGGATAAATTGTGCAAGAGGAGTGAGAAAACATCTGTGACTGTGTGAGTCGGTGCTGGATTTGCAGGCAGAGGAAGAAAGCTTTGCTAACGAGGTCTGAAGCCTCGTTTGTGGCTGGCTCAGGCTCCAGCAGCTGAATGCGTTTCCCCCGGAGCCAGGAGCAGAGGGCACTGTCACTCTCTGAGCAGACTGACGGGAGAGCAGATGCTGTGAGAGGAAGCTGTCTCAGCAGGCAACAGGCACAAAAAACATTCAGAGCTTGAAAGGGCAGAAAAGGAATATAAGCCCTGCACGTCGGGGGGAGGATCAAACACCACAGCAGGCTCTTTCTTGTCACATCTGAGCTAAACCTGCACTCACCATCCAGGCTTCTCTCCACTGACGGGGTGCAGCACCAAACCATGACATGACCAGGGTGGGAAGGGAGCTCTGGGGGGGCCTCTGGTCCAGCCCCCCACTCTGAGCAGGATGTCAATCAGCTGCTCAGCACCCTGTCCCATCCACAGACAACTGTCTCACAGAATGGGAATTGTGTGTCTCTTGGGTCTCTGTGGTACTGCTTGATTCCCTTCACAGGGAAATAATTTTCCTAATATCTTATCAGAACTTTCCTCCTTGCCATTTGCATTTTGGCCTCTCATTCCATCACTCTGCACCTCTGAGTCTGTGCCCTCCTGTGAGGTAGTGAAGAAAACAAGGAGGTCTCCATTTAGCCTTTCCCTAAAGCCTAAATCCCAGTTTCTCTCATCCTCTTCTCCTATGTTAGGTGTCTGAGCTACGTCAGTCTTTTTGGTGGCCTTCACTGGACTTGATCCATCATATTAGTGTCTTTCCTGTATTTGGGAATCTGAAACCAGACAGGGTTCCAGGCCCAAAGCAGAAACCTACCTGTACTGGACACCCTTCTTAGCCGGTCTGGGCTCTGTTCTCTCAGATCAATATGCCAAGAGACTGGGCTCATGCTAAAATAATGTGTAATTCATATGTTGGGACTTCAGGTTTCCTAAAGTTGTGGGACCTGAAAATCCTCTTTCTCTTTCCACAGAAAGGCATGGGATCAGGAGAATGCCAGCTTGGGTCCTCCCAGCCCAGCATCCTGCCTCCCACATTTGGGCAGCAGCCAGAGCAGAGCAAAGGGTGTGAGATCAGGGCATGCACACACTGAATATTCTTATGCAGCTCAAACATTTCTTGAACTGAAGGTAATATCTTCATACTGCATAAACCTCAGGAGATTTTCTTTCCACAGATTTGTCCTGTGGATTTTATTAATCCCTGTTGACATTGAACAGCCACAGCCATGTGTGGGAGTAGCCTAATGCCAAGGGGAGGGAGGAAGCATCTCCCTTTAACTTATTTTGCCACCTGCTAATTTGACTTTTTCTCCTTGCCCCTCTCAGCTGTGTATTCTTCAGTCATGGGCACCTCAGTAGCTTTTTCCAGGCTGAAGAGTCCCAGTCCACACAGTTACCCTTCATGCAGCAGCCAGCCTGGACCTTGGCTCATCCTTGCTGCCCTTCTCTGAGTTCTGTTGGGGTTTTTTTGGGGTCTGCCATTTTCTGTTTGAGATGAATTATTTCTAAGTGACATTTAGCTCACATAGAGCTCACTGCTGCCTATTGAAAATGAGTATTGTGGTTTCCCCCATGGATCGTGTTCCATTTGTTTTATGCAATTTCATCTGCTGTTTCACTGCCTGGTGAAGGTGAGGCCTTCAGTCAGCCCTCTGGGACCACCCTTCTCCATATTTCCTAGGACCACATCCAAATGTCTTAGCAGGTCCATCTCCTTTGCATTTGCCAAGATCAAATATCCTCTCAGGTATTACAAAACCTGCAATCTTCATGCCTGATAATGCGATCATCTGCCGCTGTTGTGTCACCTGTACAGGTGGTGCACATACTCTGTGTGTCTGTGCATACCCTGGTGCCAGTCCCTATCCAAAGTCACATTCCAAATCACAGTATTTGCTGAGGGAAAGGAATCAGGGACATCCTGCACCACCTGATCCATCACCTGTCCTGCTGCTTGCTGCCACATCTGCTGCCTCTCCTGCCCCAGGAGGATCAGCTCTAATCATGTTGTATTTCCTGGAATGGAGCAATTTGCCGTAATTTCCCTGCTCCTGCTGCAATCACTGCTGTGCAGCCATGGGCAGGCAGCTAATCCACAGTGAATCTGCTTCATCCATCATTCCACTGCTGGAGGGATGTGGTGCCACCAGTGACATGTGTGCAGCACATGATGCAACAACTTGACAGGCAAGAGAAAGGTAGAACAAGAAAATAAGTCCATTTTATTACTCATTATATTTTCATTTGGTATTAAATCACTGCTAGTAACTGTTTGTGACATGTATCCACCTTTTACTTCTCTCT